TCCCACTCCCACCTTCACCCCCCCCCCACACGCACACTCTTTCGTGAGGCTAATCATACGTTTGGAGAAAGTTAACGACATCAAAACAGATTTTTGAATTCGCGACGCAGCGGCTTTGACGTTGTGATTTTCAAGCTTCCACACGACGATGAGACAGGCCCGTGCATATATAAAGAAGTGCAGTTGTTACTCAGACAAATCAAAAGGCGAAAAACGTTGTGGATTGGATAACCTGGGCAAAGTCAGAGAGACTGGCTTCGATTACTTCTCACCAATCACAGGAAAACGTAATTTACAAAGTTTGTTAACTGTTTCTTTGGATGAAAGAATGATTCCGTACAATATTAGACTAGTGTTACATCACTTAACGATATACCATCAATGAGTTTTCCTGTGAGATATCTGTTCTTATTGTGTCAAAATTTTATTTGTTTCATTGGCTGGAGAGCAACACAAAATTTCTTAAACCTTCTAAATTACGTCTCTAAACGTTGTGCCTGCAATGAGTTTTACCGTTAGGTAAGTCTTTTGTTCAGTGTTTAAGGTCATTGGCTCACATTACATAAAGCACACAAACTTTACAATTACGAGGGACTTGTACGAAAACAACATACGCCATAAATGGTTCTGTTATTGTGTCGCTGCACATACGGCAGGTATTGAAAATATGATATAAATGAACCACTGTATGGTCAATAGAGGGAGAAACCACAGGCTGGGTGGCACTCTTTGGCCACAACCTCACTGGAGTGGTATTTTTTTCTGGGACCTGACTGTAATATAATATGCTTATCTTCCCAGACTATTCTGATCAGTCAAGTGACGGTCCGCTGTGGCCCATGTTCGTGTTTTGTTTAACTGGAAAAAAGAAAAGAAATGCGCGTCTGTGCAATTCTTTTCGGTTCTCGCCACCCCCCGGGCTTCTCCCCCCCCCTCTCTCTCTCTCTCGCACAAACACTCTCTTCCTTTTCCTACCCCTCTCTCTCTCTCTCTCTCTCTCCCTCTCTCTCTCTCTCTCTCTCTCTCTCTCTCTCTCTCTCTCTCTCTCTCTCACACACACACACACACACACCCTCTCCCTCTCTCTCGGATCATGCTTGCGCTGTTTTCTTAGACGTTTAAAAATGTTTTCTCGGATTATTTCTCCGACAAAATGGCGTCCGAACTTTTGACCTTCGAACTCGAGTACGGCCTGAATTATCTCTTACTACCACACACAGCTCTCTTCCGCCCTTCCCCTCTCTTGTCATCAGATAAACCTGCCCGGAAATACATCGGTTTTGTCTAGTAGGGTTGTTAAGTTAAATCCAAACAAATTAAACCACACAAGAGTATGTAGAGAAGCGATAAGATACTTAACAGTCGCACACAGAAGACATAATTAATTAGTTTAGTCCCAGTATGAAATACATTTTTTCAAGTATCTCCGTGTTCCTGCTGGGACGTTTGTTCAGCTTGTGTTGAGTCTTGACAGGTTGGGTCAAAGCAGCCAGCCTTCTGAACGATCTAAATTGGGTCGAAGGGGTTTTAAGGCCCCATTTACACGTACAGTTCACTGATCGACAAACTGTAGGATATTGGAGTGGAAAATACATTCCAGAATTTTCCTAAATATTGGTCAAAATAAAAAAAATAATGAGATTTCCGTGATCACGACCCAAAATTAGTCAAAATCACACGGAGAAGATTTAATGCCGGATTACCAAGTTAATTTTTGTTGGTGTGTTTTGTGTATTTTGTCAAGGATTGACATTATAACTATAAGGATACAAACAAACTATATGTCTAAATAGAACGAACTCCTCTCGTCGACAAACTTTCAGTTCAACGATGACCCAGACCTAGCGTCTGTCGGTTAAACTGTCAGTTTGTCGATGAATGAATTGGGCTTAAAACATCTACAATTGTAATATGCCCATATATTCTCACACAACATTTCCAATCTAGCTTACCTCTAATTATATGACCCCTACAATGTACTGTTTGTGATCTACCCCCCCCCAACCCCTTTTTCGCCTCCGTCCCCATCAATTTCCTTTTTATGACATCGCGTTAGCGACAAATAGGCCTATCTAGTTTTTGATCAGGTGCTACCAAAACTAATGCAAGATCATCCACCTAATTTCTGATTCATGACCACTAAAGGGAGACAGTCATGCGTTTTGCCCGACGTGTAAACTAAACTGATTGCATTTGCATCTACATAGCCTCATTAGCAATTCGCACCAGCGTCTTTTGAGACCAACTGATCATTCAGTTATGTTTTCAGTTGTTATGTCTAGATCTTAGTCATATCCTACATGATCTGAGCAACTGACGAGAGAGTTGTTTCTTTTTAAAACTAGAAATTATCTTTTAATTGCTATGTGATAGGGACGTCAGCGTTCGTAAGTGGGAAAGAATGCTTTTTAGTAAACTTTTAGTAAAGTATGTTTAGTAAATTTTTCTATTTGGCTTGTGCAACGTCAACTAACGAGATGATTTACCTATTTAAAAAAAAGAAGAATCTTCAATTTGCTAAATAAAAAAGTAGGCAGCGTCCATAATTTAGTGGCAAAGAAAGATTTGTCTTAAATGTTTTAGTAAATGTTTAGTCAATTTCAGTATGGCCGTGCAACGCAGACAGAAGAACGATTTTATTGAACGTTTTTTTCCTTAAGAAATTATCTTTTACTTACTTAAAGTTAACAGAGTTGGTTAATAGAAAAAAATTCGACAAAGTAAAAATTCGTAGTTCTTTATATATAGTATGGCCTAAGACAACAGCTGGCGCGAGAGTTTTTCTCCAGAAAGGTTATTCTTTTGTACTTGAGAAGACAGATTTCCTACGTAGAGAGAAAATCAATTTGCAAATTTTAAAGTAATTTTTTAAAGTTAATGTTTTAGTAATTTGCTTAGTAATAGGTTATGTTTTGTTAATTTTTAAGCATGGCCTGCGCAACGCCAATGGACGAGTGAGTTTTCCTCCTGGAACCATCGTCTACTTGTTATGTGAAACAGTAGTCAGCGCTGGTAAGTAGCAAAGAAAGATTTAAAAAATATTTTTTTCATTTACTTTCTTTTTGTTTGTTCAAGAAGTGGACTCTTAGCATAGCCGGGGCATCGCCAGATCACAAGGCTTTTTTTTCCTCAAGAAATCATATTTCGTCCAGCTTTGAAAAGTAAAAGACAGCTTTCGTAGGTAGCCAAGAAATATTCTTCTGGTAAAATCTTGGTCAAATTTTTCGCACCCCCCAAAAAATTACGTTCAAGTTGAGTTCTTTTTCTGAGCAATATACCTTTTGAAGGGATGGAACTATAAATACATTGCGCTATGTACTCCCACGATTTGGTGGCACCAAACAGGTCTCCAAACAAAGCTGTGCCTCCTGTTTACGATCAGTTAATTTATTTGCCAACCATTATAAGAGCAGTTGAACTATTTGTTAACGTATCTTTTGAGAAGTTGATTTCTTGACACCCCCCCCCCCATTGATCCATTCAGAGAAGGGGACAAATAGAGGTGGGGAGGTGCGAGGGGTGGGGGAGGGGGGAAGTGGGGGTGGAGGCAAGCGCTGTGTTATCCGAAACTGGTTTTCACGAACATCAAAGAAAAGAAGAAAGTATTCCTTTCTATTAGTTCTACAATTTGGTACTTTTTTTCGATACAACTAGATGTTGGGACCAATTAGTGTAAAACGCAATGTCATGTCACACGAGGCTTCTTGTTAGCCAGTGAAAGGAGCTTACCTTCGTTAACAACGTCAGAATACGATAAGATAAGATATTAACAATCTTTATTGATCCATGAGAGACATTTGGGTTACATATTATAAAATGGTACCAAAACATCAACGTACACAGCTTCAGCATCAACACAAAAATGCATTTATTACATTATGCACAATGATACACATATAACGATGCACAACTCACTCACACAAGCGTATACATTGTGCGCGTGGGCATGGACTTTCTCTTCCTCTCGCAGTCAAAACAGAGAACCGCTACAGGGAAAATAGACCAGAACTTTCTAAAATAGATACCGCGGCGTTTATCAAATCTAAAGGCTCAATCCAAGCTTTAACCTGAACGCCAATAACATGACGAATAAAGCACAGATATATTAACCGAGGTGCCATAATCGGATTAGGTACTATTGATTTTCCAGAATTAGTTGATGAAATCGGTCGGTGCTCGAAGTTCAAATAAGCACGATGCTGGTATTTTCTTGCTTAATCTTTCTAAAATAAATAAGCGAAGAAAAACACTCTTTTTCAGTATGCTTGAAGAACAATTTAAAAGTCCTCCTCGCGCCCTTAAAAAATCTACAGCACATCCATGATACATCAGGAAGACAAGCGATACTCTTTTTTCGGGTTGTAGGGTCTTGTTACACTTTCAGGAAGTCAAGCTGCTAGCTGAATAACAAGGAATGTGTTAAATTGGAACCCACAGGGTTAAAGATCTAGGGGAAGACCACGTGGAACCTGGAGAAGAGTTACGGAAATGGGAGTGCAGAAGAGTGGGAAGACGTGGAGTGACATCAAGCGACTAGTCCAGGGTAGGGGAAGGTTGAAAATGTTTGTTCGTGACCTATATCCTGATCCAGGGTGAGAAAGGCAATGATGATGATGAGGGTCTTGTTGTGAAATGATCAAAATGTTCGTACCGCAAAACTGCAAAGTGACTTTAAAGGAAGAAGCTACGTTACTAATCTATGAAACATTAGAATGTATGTTTAACGACGCAGCGGAATCAGGTGCTCGTCAATTTTTGGGCATATGGAATTAAATATATAATATTAAGGCCTGTTGATTTGCCTTCTTTTTGATGGAAAAATACCCATCTATCTAGAACGGAGATATTTGCGATTAAAGGAGATGGGGCTTCACTTGGTGTCAGAGGTGAAATTATCGAGAAAATAGCCGCCAAAGACTGAAGATTTCCAAAGATGTAGTGTCCTTGAAAATTATAGATTTACATTGTTGTCCATTTGACCATTGTGTTTCAGTGAATCAAAACAGAAATGTGTTTTCGAATGAAATAAAAGTTGTTGAGCCCAATGCAAAAAACAACTGCAAAATCGACTTTATTTTTGACAAGACTTGGAGCCTGATTTCATCGTCATAACACACATTAATATTGTTTTCTTCTTTTCTTCCCCTTTTCCAGCTGCCCCAAGTCTTTTCAGATCACCAGAGTCGGTGGTGTAGCGGTTAAGCGTTTCGCTGGCACACACAAAAGAGGTGAGTTTGATTTTCATGAAGTGAGATTCTTTTATCGAGTTTCGCGGTCTTACTGCATAGAAGTTGCATCCCTCCTGGCCCAGATAAGACCTGACAGGCAGGTTCAAAACCCATCTCCTATTCTTAAATGATCGAAATTCTGTCGATTGGGGCGAAAAGTATTTGCCTTTCTATAAAAGACAAAATGAGTATTATGAGAGTAACTTCAGACACATTTTCACCTAAAACAAATTTAGATAATCTGATCTGAAAGGTAATGATATGCGTACTTGTAATCATCATCATCATCATCATCATCATCATCATCATCATCATCATCATCATCATTATCATCATCATCATCATCGTTTTCAAATATAATCCGTGCGGGTAGTCAGAGGGCAGCAATAGTAGATTCGGTAAAAGTTAGGCTTTCTGAGCTACTCAGTTAGTTTAGGGTAACAGCCAAGAGAACGTCTACCCCTTGACCCAAAATGCGTATTATCAAAGAGCCACCGCCCCCCCCCTCCGTGAGCGCTACTTCTTTTCTTTCCCTCTGTTCTCTCTGTCTGCCTGACTGTTTTTGTTTTTTCCATCAACTAAATTGCCGTTATTGACCCAAAGTGCTTTTCTGTACTCAAAACTCGGAAGATAGGCTACCTGGAGAAGCTACTCGGGAGAAAACTTTAAACTTTTATACCTGAGCATTGTAATGCATACACTACAACTATATTTCTTTGTCTGGTTACTTATAAGAAATGTAGTTGTTTCACGCCTCCATGGACACGATTTGGATAATTTAGGAAGCGGGCTTCTCCCCTCTATGTCAGGGCCAACCTAGGCTCAGGGGGATACAGCAATGCAGAAGAAAAATTCGAGATATTCTGTGAAATTCTCCCACCACGAGAACTGAACTCAGGTCTATGTGTACTGTGCACATCTGCACGAAGACGCCGGTCTGGTGACTATTAACTTGTTTCAAATGGTCTAGAAACAGGTTAGTTTTAAAAAATCAATAATTATTTTGTTTCGTTGCTTGGAAATCGGATTTACTTGTCAAGTTGACGAAACAAAAAGGGGGAAAAGATATGACCGGGAAAAATAAGTCCATGATAATATGGCATAGTGTAACGCACACATTGACGTGTCATTGATTACTGCTTTGTTATTGCGCAAGAAGAAGCGGGACTGCACATCGGAATAGCGAGCTGGCGTAAAATAGTAGTACTTACGCTCAACATTGCAGTAGCGAGTCGTTTTTTCCCCCCTATATTTCTTTGTTACTGGTAAAAGAACTTGGTGTCGCAGTCGACGAGTTTTTTTCATCGAAGTATTGACATCGGTCTTACACCAAAGAGCGTACATAACAAGATAGTTCACTCTTCTCTTTGAGCCAATTAAAATAACGTCCTCAAAATTCGGTGGCGCCCTCTTCGAAAAAGTGCGGACTTTACGAACTTAGTTACCTTACTTAGTGTGAGAAACAATAAAAGCGAACCAACAAACTGTGCTATTCCTATTCTTCTTCTGAAGAGCTTCAAAACAAAGACTGCAGCATTATCTGAAGAAACTTTTTTTGACCGAGTGAACTATCTTGTTATGAACGATCTTTGTCTTACTCACACACAGGACACTTACACATTTAGAACTTCGTAAAACCATTGTGAGCGTATATAGATCTAGAAATGTTTGTCGTGGGGTTAAAGAGTTTCTTTGTTTCACCGTTGCCACCAAGATCTCTGTCAAAACAATAATGAACAGAAAACTAGTTTCCAAAAAAAGAAAATCCTCTCAAAGTAGTTGACACCTTAAAAATAGATCACTAACAATGAGCGACAATACACTGAGAATGATTTTAAATCTCAGTGGAGGTTGTGTGTTAATGTTTCGGTTTATGTTTCATTTTTAGCGTCTTTGCTGTCATTACCAAGGGCCATGGGGGAATTAGTGTCACAGTTGACAGTTTCGAAGCTGTTAATAGGAGAGAGAGAGAGAGAGAGAGAGAGAGAGAGAGAGAGAGAGAGAGAGAGAGATACTGTAGGTATGCTTGTGCGCATATGTGCCGATATACACTAAGTCTTGCTGGCGTGGTTTGGTGCACGCGTGTGTCACTTTCTCATAACATTTGTATCGTCTTGTAGGTTAATCAAAGTTAAAATGTAACGATAGAAGAGGAAGAATGGGGCGATGACACCGACAAGAACAAAAACAATAACAGCAATGAGAGCAACAGCAACAACAGCTGATCAATAACAACTAAAAATAAAGACAGTAGCATTATATCGGCAGTGTAGGCAGGTGGAGGGGTCTGAAAGAGGAAATAGAGTGGCAAATAGAAAATGGAAAATAACCATGTTATTACCAACGGAATTTTGAGTGCATTCATTTCGAAACAAACAAGTCTTAACTAGTTCATGCCCTACTTTGGGAAATAGTCTTCTAATGAAAAACGAATCATTAGTCCCCCGGTACTAATAAACAAAGTTCCGTCACTTTTCGATCACTATAGACGGTTACTTTTGTGTTATATTGTTCCAGGATTACGGTGCATGTGGTTAATCAGGACAGGGAGAGACAGGTAGAAAGCGTCGGCTTCAGTGAGCATGAGAAGGGACTGATTGATGCTCTCGTTTCTCTCTGTAGTGCCTTCTAGTTGTGTGACTCTGCAGAGTGCTGCACTTTCACATTGAGCCTAGGCTTGACTTCCTCCTCTTCTAGACGACCGGCGTCTCTGGTGTAGCAGGCAAGCACTTCGCGTCCCACACAATAGAAGCGGGTTCGGTTTCCTTGAGGCGAGAAATGTTATCGAGTGGCTCTGTCTTGCTGTTGGGACGTCGTATCCTTCTCTAAGCCCGGTTGCTCCATACGTGCAGAATTACAGTAACCTGCCTCCTTAATGTTCTAAATTGTTTTGATGGAGACACAAAGCATCTATAATTACTCATAATATTACTTATTACTACTCTTCTACTTGCTGAGAAATAATTCTTTCGTCTATTCATACTTACTTACTTTATACGTTTTCCTTCCTCTGGTATCCTTAGGATGTCCAGGGGAGGTGCAGGTTTCGGTCCTGTGCTAGTCACTGGTAGGTGTGTAGCGTCTGTGATATAGATACGTTATGTTGTGCCAGGACCTTTTAAACTCCATCCTGCTAGGTCTTTCTTGGTCTTCCTCTTGATTTGAAGCCGGATTCACGGGTGTGGTAAGCTCTAGCCGCGAATTGTTTCTGGGGCATTCTGGTCAGATGTCCGAACCATTTGACTATTTGACGATCTATGAAATTTATTACTGGTGGTATTCCGGTTTGTAGGCGTATGGTCTCGTTCCTTATGCGGCCTCTTCTAGTGAAATTGCTGGTTTTCCGGAGACATCTCATTTCGCATGCATTGATTTTTCTTTCTATTTGGCCTTGGTATGTTAAGATTGATATGAAGATGCTATTGATGAGCTGGGATTTCACTTCGGTTGGGATGTTCTTGAAGCTGAGCAGGGGTGCTAGCTAGTAGGTAACTGCGTTTGCCGTAATAGTTCTTCTTTCTATTTCTTTGTTCATACGCCCAACTTGCGTGAAAATGCTTCCCAAATATTTAAATTCCTCTACTTATTGGAGTTGGGTTCCGACATAAAGATGTTGAGTTTCCCTGGGTTTCTGCAGTTCTTCAAAACTTCTGTTTTTGAAATGGCGATTTTCATATTTAGGTGTCAACATTTCTCATTTAGTTTTGTGGCGTGTTTTTGTAATTTCTCTTCATCTGTATTTAATATACTTTGGTCATCAGCACCTAGAAACTAGTTCAGTTCAGTGATGTTGTCATTTGCTGCTTTCGTGATCTTATCCATGTACGTAATGAAGAGAAGCGGGGAGAAAACACACCCTTGTCTCACCCCAGACCTGATGTGGAACCAGTCCGATAGTCCTCCTGTTGATGTAATGGCACACAGGCTGTTTTTATATAGTGCCACGATGGTCTCCAACAATTGTCCTGTTACACCATATTCCTATAAGATTTCCCAATGTTGACATCTATTTACCCGGTCGAACATCTTTTCCTGGTCCATGAAGACGATGTTGAGATCTTTGTCATGTGCAATGGCAGTCTCACACAACTGTATTCATGCAAAATAGGGTCAGTACATCCCGCGCTTTTTCTGAAGCTAAACTGGGCTTCACTGAGTTGAGTCTCTACAACTGCTCTTATTCTCGTTTCCAGTATCTTGACAAAATTTTACCCACATGATTGAGCTGATATTCCTCTGTTTATAACATGTTCTAAAGGTAGTCTCTGATGCGGTAACGTTCCCATGGTAGGCATCTTTGTATCTTAGCACTGGTGAACAATTTTCCTCTTTAAGTGTTCTACCTTCCCCTCTATACAAAACGTTTTGTGTTTTCCGCCTTCAAAGAGGAGATTATATATGACGTCCTAACTATCGGAATCAAGTGCGAAAATTGTCGGTGTCTGACTCCATCCGTGTATCTGCTAAATAAGGCCAAATACTTTTTTCTCAGCTTAAGTATTCATAGCAGTAATTACAATTCCTGTAACTGTAATTATGTATAACAGGTTTTTTTAACAACAAACATTTCACACAAAACAACATTTTTAGCTATCCTAGTAAATAGCAAGACAGAAAATATGTTCCCCTCCCCCCTCAAAATTTATGCCCACGCACTTTCAAAGTAGTAGTCAGACATCGGCTAAATGCTTTTGGAACTATCTATCTTTCCAAAACTTTTGTATTGTTAATCCTGTTTGACTGTGGTTTTTTTTCTTCAGAATAAGCCTCACTATCATTATCGCCAAATACGATTGGATCTGGTGTTTCGAGTAATGAAGTTCACCTGTTTACTCGATACATTTTTAGTTGGTAGGACATTTTGAATTTTTGTCGGGGTGGCGGCCGAAGCCTACTCTTATCGATTTTGGACCACCAAGGGATCTTTAACGTGCGCAACCTGCACAGGGGACCTAGCAGATTTTTCGCCCTTGTCCAAGAAGGCTAGGTGTAGACCATAA